TTACTCTTATCACATGACGTAGTAATTCCACTGCCAGGAGAAATAAAAACCCACTGGCAAACAAAGACCTGCGCACGAAGGTTTACAGCAGCTCTATGCATAACGTCCCAAAGTGGAAACAACACAAAGGTTCATCAATAAACTGGTATACACCATACAATAGATTACAACCATTAATAAAGGGATACTAAATACAACATAGATGAAATTCAAAAGCATTATGCTGAATAAAATAATGTAACTTACACCTCAATCAACACTGCTTTAAAAAAATTTTTTAATCAATCTAAGTTTCCACCTTAGGCAGGCAGAAGGAGAAAAGCAAATCAACTCCAAAGTATGAGGAGGGCAATAATAAAGAGCAGAATCAGTAACATGGGTCAACACCCAGAAAAACAAAACCCTTCTCTTCGCAAAGATCAACTGGATAAACCTCAAGCTAACATGATCAAGAACAAAGAGAAGATCCAAATAACCACTATCAGCAATAACAAAGGGGACATCAGTCCAAATCCCACAGATGCCAGGAGACTAATAAGGCAATGCTCTGTTCAACTTTCGTATCAATACACGCTACAACTTAGGTGAGGTGGACAAGTTCACTGAAAGAAGAAACTGACCAAAGCTGACATAAGAAACATAACAGATGAATAACCTTGTATCTATTAAATAAATTAAATTCATAAATAAAAACCTTCCAAAGAAGGAAAAAAGCGAAAAAAAAAAAAGCAAACACTTGCCCAGGAAGAAAACTCCAGGCCCAGGCTGCTTAACTGGCGAATTCCATCAAGAATTTGTGGGAAAAAATACTACCAGCCTTACACAGACTCTTTTAAAGACTTCATACATCCCACCAGGTTAGCATTACCCTTATGTCAAAGCCAGAAATTGCAAGAAAAAAAAATACAAGCCAATATTTTTCATGAACATTGACACAAAATTCTGTAACAAAGTATTAGCAAACTGAATCCAGGAATACAAGCAATGGGTAATACATCATGGCCAAGTAGGATTTATTGCAGGAATACAAAGTTGGTTTAACATTCAAAAAGCGATGAAGTGTAATTCACTATATTTTCAAAATAAAGGAGAAAAATCCTAAGACCATCTCAATTGATGTAGAAAAGCATGTGAAAAAATTCACACATTCATGATAAAAAACTCTCAGTAAACCAAGAAAAAAAACTCTTCAAACAGATAATTTGTTTAAAAAAAAACCCAAAAAACCTACAACTAACATCATATTCAATGAATAATGAACACTTTTCCCCCAAAGATCAGGAACAAAGCAAAGACATGTGCTCTCACCACTTCTATTCAACACTGTCCTGGAGGCCACAGTCGATGCAGTAAGAAAACGAAATCAAAGGCATACATACATGAGAAAGAAGTAAAAATGTCTTTATTTACAGACGCAATGATCATGGACATAGAAATCCTAAGAATATATTAAAAAGCTGCTAGAACTTAATACGTGAATTTAGTAAGGTCACAGGACACATGGTCAGTATATTAAAAAATCAACTGCGTTTTTATACACTAAAAACAAGTAAAATGAAATTTTTAAAATATCATTTATAACAGCTTCAAAACACATGAAATACTCAGCGACATATTTAACAAAGTATCTGTAAGACCTGTACACTGAAAACTACAAAAACCTGCTGAGACACTGAAGAGCTGCATAAATGGAGACGTTTTCTCCACTCATGGCCTGGCAGTGTCAGCATTAGGATGTCACTTCTGACCGAACTGATCTAGAGTCAACACAGCCCCAGTCAAAACCCCAGCACTGGGGAAATGCAAATTGAAACCGCAGTGAGATACTATCTCACCCTCCAATACTGTCCGTACTTAGAGCAACGGCAACTTACACGCTGCTGGTCAGTGTGTGAACAACCCACCGCTTCAGAAAGTTTCTTACAAACTTAAAGTTACATCTTTCTCATGACTCAGAAATTTCACTCTTAAGTGGAATTGAAGAGGAATGAAAAATATGAGTAAAAAAGGATAACGTGAGAAGGTTAAGAGCAGTCTTGCTCATAACAGCCAAAAGCTGGAAAGAGTTCAAATGTCCATCAGTAGGGAAATAGATCATTATGTCAAATTCATCCAACACCACACATGAATTTAAAAGCATGTTACATGAAAGAAGCCAGAGACTAAGAATACATATGTAAGATTCCACGTACATGAACTTTAAGACCTGACAAAACTACTGTACGGGAACGGGCATCAGAAAGCAGCTTTGGTCGTGCAGTGGGGGCGAGGAACTGACCGCGCGGAGGTAGGGGGGACTGCGGGAATGCCCGAAATATCTTTACTGGGGTTATGGCTACTGACTGACTCGCTGACACCATAAAGTTAAGGCCACACTCAGTTCACGTGCCTCCATCACAAACACAGTGCCCAAGAACTCAGGGATGTGTATCCATTTTGCAAAAAGCTATACAGTTCAAATTAGTACATTTTATTGTTTGTAATTTTATACCTCAGTGAAATTTATTTAAAAACTAAAAACTAAAATTAAAATCAAGTGTCCACGGTCCCCTCTATCTAACAGCTCCCATGTCACGGGGGCAGGCTGAGGGGACCCCCACAAGGCAGCTGGGCAGCCACCGCCTGGCCCAGTCTCCAGACCGTCCCTCTAACTTCACAGGTGATCCAGCGGGCATTTCAGCCAGTCTTTAGAGTCTCGCTTCGTTTCGTTTCATTTCATTTACTGGTATTGTTTCTTGTTGTATGAGTTAATGTGGAGACTTTTTCCCTCTAAATTCGGTTCTTTTCCTCTATCACCAAATTACATTTCTATCTTTTCTATGAAGAGTACATTTTTTCCCAAGCATGAGGGACATTCCAAAAACAAACAAATTATAAAAATGTTCCCAAGTATGAAGAGGCACTACTGTGCCAGGAGCCACACACAGAAGAGCTTTGAGCTCCAGATGCAGGGGCAGTTCTCCCGCCCTGACCAGCGAAATGTCTACATCTCGGATGTTATTTCATTTTCAGACTCAGCCCCAGGATTACTGGCCAGTTTCAAAACCATCTGCTCCATATATGGTTAAAAGTTTCCCACTTAGGCCTCGCTCTCCTATCTCTGTAGTTTTTCTTCAGTACTAAGAGGAGCACAACTCCAAAGGTTTCGAAAACCCAGGATACTGGGAAAGTTTTTAGGGTTGGCAGATCTCTACCATGCTTCTCTTAGTAACAGAGGGCAAGAACCACAGCAGCTGACTCGCTGACACCACAAAGTTAAGGTCACACTCAGCTTCACGTGGCTCCATCGCAAACATAAGTGCCCCAGGACGCAGTCACTCTTCTGATGGGACAGCGAGCTCCAAAACTGTACCAAACAGCTGGGCAGCATTTCAAGAGTAAGATCAAAGACAGTGTCATAATCTCAACAACATCCGTGTAACTCAGTAAAACAATTCATGTAGAAGAAAAGGAACACTTATGCAGAGGTTGGACCTGACACAGATTCACTCACTGAGACAACAATGAGCCAAGGTCTCCGAGCAGCTGAGAACCACAAAGCCCAAACTTGGGCAGGGGGCAGAGCAAACAAATCCTTAACAGACACTGAAAATGCCCTAAAAAGGCAGAGGGAAGAAAACACTTTTACTTAGTAAGCAGAAAACCAATCTTTATCACCACAATAATTTCTGAAAACACTTTGCACTGCTTAACAGTAATGGTAAACGACGTTCATAATGGTGATCTTCAGTCATCAGGAAACATCAAAGCGTGCTCAGTAGCATCCGTTGCTAAGAACAGCAGAAGCTGCAATGTGCTTATGAAGGTGGCCAAAGAATGGTTACAACCTTCATCAATTCACTGCCTCACTTGAAAAGTCCTGAGCGAGCGTCCCCTCCCGAGGTCAGGCGTGTGGAACGCCCATTTCTAACGGCGGTGTTCTGGCGTAACTCCACCCTAGTGCTCACTCATCTTAGAAATGGGTATGTCCCAGAACCATCTGTAGAACCACTACACAGATTAAATGAATTTTTTAAAGTTTTCCAGCACATTTTGAAAATGGAACTTCTCCTGTTATTATACAGTTCTTCCACAGGAAAAAACATTCCGCCTACAGGAAGACAACAGCAGGGCTTACTGTGGGCTCATTATCACCTACTGAAATTCCATACTTTCTCTCACTTTTTAATTAGCTAGCGACTCATTATTCTAAGTTTCTCACTCCATCTCCATCCCCCAAATAAAAGTACACCCTCCGTTTCCTCCGTAACACTCCCTCCCCTCCCCTGAATTCCCTGTGTCCTGCTTTCTTCCTCCCACCCAGCCTGTGGCAGCGCCCCTGGCCACGGCCCGATATCCGATATCCGCCGTGGCATCAATGCCAGTGGGCCGGTGTCGGAACCTGCAACTCTGGGAGCTGCACTGTAACCAGGAAAACACAAGTCCTCCCTCGAGCAGAGCAGTGTGGCCGAGGAATATGCACCCGCCTGGAGCTGAGACACTTATCAGTGCTAACGAGGACAGCTGGTAATCTGCTAGCTTCCTCGTGCCAGACCCTGGGCTGAAGGGCTTCGCACACATTATCTATCTGGTCCTCGCAACTGTCCCCTGAGATAGGTTCTGTTTGATTCCCACTGTGTAGCTGGGGGGGCTGCAGCTGGGAGAGGTTATTAGGCAATTAATTTAACCCTGGTCACACTGCTGCTCAATGGCAGAGCAGGATCTGAACCCAGCTATGATTTCAAAGTTCACACCTTCACCACACAGCAGCCGCCTCCGTCGTCATTTGCTTGAGCCGCTCAAGTCCGTGCCCAGCTACTGGGGTCAACGCCAAATGACTCAGGTTCCCCTACTACGCTTTCCCTGACTACAAAGCGCACATCTCACCTTCCTACAGAATGGTCGTTACTGTCATAACTTTCAAAAAGTTAGAGGACAAATCAAACCGAAGTTTATAGATTTGGAAAGCCTTTAGAATCTGCTGCTTGAAAACCACTTTAATACACATGTAAGAATGTTACCTGGGGTTACAGTTAGCTGAAAGCAATGAAGCTTGTTTGGATCAGGAAAATGCACTTTACACGTACCTGCAAAAGAAACAGCACGTCAGGAGGGTCTGGTGCTCAGCAGCCGCTCTCGCGCGGGGGCCGGCCAGGAAGCACACGGGAGGTGTGACGGTGCTGAGGGGTTACAGGGTAGACCAGGAGATTCGCCCTCACTATTTGATGACATCTGTGCTAAAATCAGTGCTTTTTGCCATGTGTTTTCTTCCTTACAGTTTTTTACTAGTTAATTCCAAACTGACATTTTATCTTTCAACCTTTAAATGGTCCCTAAAAACAGAGACCTTTCCATTCATTTCAAGAATGATGCTATTTTACATGAAAAGAAACCATACCTCAGGGAGATGCATATATGTGGGCAAAGGCTACCTAAACGCAGGAAAACCAGAAAAAGAGCCCTGGCCAAACCTGTGGTCTGTTCACCTCGCATCAGGGTACCCACCACAGCAGAACGGAAGTTAGAGAGCTGCACCACCTAAGTTAGCTCACACCCAGGCCACAGGACTTCTTAAAAATGTCTCCACAACCTGACCAGGAACTCAGCCCGACCTGAAGCTCTGCTGAGTCGGACAGCAACACCCACTGCCCAGGTGCACCGCACCGAGGGGTCTGGGTCAGGACAAGGAGTTCGCACAGGAGAAGGGCTACTGTGATGCTGCAAACTGGGCAAGCTGGCCATAGCCTCCATCCGCCTCCTTCAAACAAATGGTACAGAAGACGGGTCAATACCCAAAGAATAAATACGGAAGGAATATATGGAGAAACTGTGTATATTTTATACACTTGGAGAATATTATGCTCAATTCCTTGGGTCATCTACTGACTGTATGTCTTTCAAGCCCTGCTGAAAATATTTGCCTAGGTTTACATGGTATGAATTTTCATCAAAAATAGGATGATGCAAATTGAGCCTTGGAAATGGCCTTAGAGACCAACATCATGGATTGTGACAGATGACATGAAGGTCCAGAGAGGGCTGGTGACCAGGTCATCAACAGAAGTAAGCTTAACTCCCAAATTAAAAGCTAGTCCATGACTCCGTATCATGTCTCATGTCATTACTTCAGGAACACACCAGGTGTGGCGCACAAAACCAGTGCAGAACTGTCAGCGGGGTTCTCTTTTGACCAAACCCCTCAGAAAGTCACTGCAGGGCGAGAGGTAACTCGGTCTGGAGGAGCAGGAAGGAGCCTCGGAGAGTACACTGTCACTTTCCTTGTTTCAGAAAAAAGAAACCGGAAGCTGGAGAGTTCAAGGCTTTCGCCCAAGCTGCACAGTTGAAAAGTGTGGACTAACGTGCATGGGCTTCGTGCTTTCTAGTCTTCACCTGAAAAGATACGTGCATTTCCTAGCGAGGCGACTGCAGCAGAACCACGAGAAGGGCTTGGGAGGCGCATCACCAACTCCAGCCAGCGCCACTCGCTTGTTGTTAACGCCTAGTGCTCTCCTTCGGTTGTTTACTAAAGGTGCGGGTGCAGAAATCAGCCCCGCTCATCTAGACTGGCCCAGCAAGAATAAAAAATCATTAAGACAGATTAAAAAACAATAAACTCCTGAAAAGAACCAAACATTTGCAGCTAAAAACAAGTCTTAAGTTCTAATAATGACAACAAAAGGTTACAAGTCGGGTTCTGGTTTCAGTTCGATGTAGGGGCTGTGACAGAACTGCAGAATTAAACTGTTCCTTTATTGGTACGCATGGGCTAAGACCTTCAGAGAACTTCCATCTATCTGGAAGAGATGTTCTTCACTTTCTGCGAGCAGAGAGACTTCCATAAAGCCGCATGCACAGAGCTCCAAACCAGCTCTGAATGGTTACCAAGCAGCACAGCTGTGCGACAAGTTCTCGTGTTTGCCTTACTAAGTATTTTAGAAAGGTTATTAATCAAATAGTAAAGATTTAGTTTTTTGGTGGCTTGTTTCCTCTTTAGATTGAGGTGCATAACTGTGGAAAGCCTGGCTTACTTGTATAAACTGACTTATATTTCCCCCAACTTGGACAGAGAGAGTGGGTCAGGAGAAAAAGAGAAAAGAAGGCTGTAACACGTAGCATTTTAAATCCGACACCGTGGCTGTAAGGGCCAGAAGATGGGTCATGCCTTTTCAAACCAGTTATTTAGCTAAAATGCTCGTTTGAAAGTCAATTATAGTTTTACTGTTCTTAAACCAAATTTTTAGATACAGTTAAACTATACAGGTGAAAAGCCAACAATCTTTGTAAGGTTCACATATAAGGACAAAATGAACCATGTGTAAGTTGGAAGTTTTCTGTGATCTTTGATTAAATGTCTGCATTTTGTATAAATGTTCAAGCTGAGGGGCCGGTGGGAAGATATGACGGGAGTGGGAAACAGAAGGATCCGTTCATTTTACTTTTTTATTAGATTATTACATAACCTGAAATAATGAGCCCATCACCCAGCGTCAACATTTCGCCCGTCTTGCTTCATCTGCCCCACCCACACACACCGTTACTTGTTTTCCTGGAATGATTTAAAGCAAACCATCTGTAAATACTTTAGTAGGTGGAAAGACAACCTTTTAATAGGATCCCAAGATATTTCCTTCTAGCTCCGACTAGAAGAAAACTTTGAAGTCAAGCAATCCAGTGACTTAAGACTTTTTCTGACTGAGACCCACACTAAGAAGCATATTTCATAGCACAGCCCACTATACTCATACATAAATACTATATATTAAAAACAATTTTTCAACAAACAATGTGTACTTACCCTTCCACACTGATCACACAACCATTTAAGGGTTGCACCCCACAACTATGTTTCCAACTTGAGGTGGAAGTGGGATGGGTCCTCTGTTACCCTGTCGGATGGGCCCCCACATCAAACTCCCTGGAGCACTCGTCCAGACTAGGAGACCCACGTATGAAATAGTTCACTCAGCAATAAATATCCTCAGCCTTAGGATGAGTTTTAACCAAGAAAATGATTAAAAAGTTCTAATTCAAAAAAATACTAAAATGGTCGAAGCTCGCAGACTTCAATGGTCTTATAATATAAAGGACTTGGGAAGGCATTAACCAGAGGAGGGAAAAGAACCGCTGACACACATCACCAGTTAAGCGCCTAGTAAGTGCGCTGGCTCACAGGCAAGGGCAGCACCGTCAGCCCCGTGTGTCTGAGCAGGAAGGACCGAGCAAGCTGAGGGGAACTGGAGACATGAAGTCAGCATGGTTGTCCCACCTCATGCACAAAGATCAATTAAAATACGCACTTTCTGGATCAAAAAGGTGATATTGTAACTAACAAAAATAGGACCGTCCATCATTGATTTCTATACCCTTTCACTCAAAGAGGACATGGGACAGAATGCTGTGCAAGAGATACAAACCCTAACCAGACACACCTCGGCTACAATTAAGCACCACTGAGTCACATTCAGAGAAACAATAAACACCTCCTTTTCAGAGCCTCGTAAAAAACTCTGCTACCTGTTTGCACAAAATACATGTTTATTCCTAACATACATAAAAAACAAGCTTTTTCCTATGTAGTTATTAAAACATAAAACAAGCTTCTCCATGCAATCATTTTACAGCATTTAATGTGTGATTGGGGACGCTGTACTTACAAGGTAAGTTAGCTTCAAGTTCTGCAACCTCTGTAGAAACAAAGAAATTAGTGTTAGTGTTAGTGTCAGTTACTCCACAGAAAATCACCAGCTCCAGACTGGCAATCCCCCCACAACACTGAAGGGAAAATGAATAAACTTAACTAACGGGAATCTACAGTTGGTCTAAAGTTTAGATTTTAAGCCACGAAGTTGCTTTCAAATATACAGAGTGACGTGCAGGATGTCAATAAGTGCAGTGAAGGGCCCTTGAAAATTTACTTTAGTACAAATGAAAATCATTTAAAATTAACATAGAAATCACTTGTAAACAGTCACAAAAGCATTTTTGAAAATCCTGTTAGCCCAAGTAGTGGAACTGCTGCCCTCCAAATCTGATTTCTACTTAAACCTGTGTCTTCCACTTTTCCCAGATCTGTCTTCCCGTGAGGGCTCGCCCAGTTTGTGCTCGAACTCTGCCCTCTCCCCACTGCTGGCCGGAGCGCTGCCCAGCTGTGCACGGCGATGCCGCCGCAGTCCCCTCCTCACAGCTGCATTCCTTGGCACCTGCGCTCTCCTCCCGGGCCTCTTCTATCAGTCACTCATTCAGCGTTCGAGCCCGGCACCCTTCTGCCAGGATAAAGCCACAAATCTCCCACCCATCCCACTATTAAAGAGCTGAGGTCTAGGGGAGCACCAAGAAATGACTGGGCCGGCAAGTCATCAGTGCCTCTGACATGACATGACATAACACGCTCTGGGTCCTGAGAGCACGGAGACTCCCTCCAGCTGCAGAGACTCAAGGGAGGAGGAGGTTTTGGGGGCTGGGCTTTAAAGACCAAGTAGAATCCAGTCCTGCAGAGGCGAGGAACAGGGTACTCTAAGGAAATAAGTCAGCAAGGTGCAAACGCACAGAACACAGACAAGCACAGACATCAGAAGGCGTACAGTGAAGCCTGAGCATTGGAAAACAAAGCCGAAAAACAGGGGCAGGAGGGCTGCGGGCCCTGAGTGCACAGTTGAGAATTCTAAACTTTATTCTGCAGCAATAGGGAACCAAGGGAGATTTCTAAACAAAAGTTTCTATGCTTTGCTTCAAGAGGACAACTTCAGAAAGGGCAAAGCAGAGGCCAGGCGACCTGTGAGGCGGGGGCTCTGACAGGCAGTAAGGACTCTGGCAAAGGCAGAGAGTCAGGGTACCTGACAGCAAAGAGGATGAAAGGATCTGCCACCTGTGTGGGATGGGGGCGGAGTCAGAGATGGCACCGAGAGCTGACGTCTGGCGTGAGGGTGTCGAGGGCGGGAGAGTTGACGTCTGGGTACACGACCAAGGCTGGGGGGCCCCTGAGAGTGATGCCACCAGACATCATGAGACTAACAAAGGGGAGAGACCAGTGAGAAGAATGAACTTTGGCAGAAAGCACAGAGGACGGGGTGGGGAAAGTGACCTTCAAGAAACAGGAGGAAAAGCAGGAGAGATGAGCAGTGATTCAGTACAGCACAGACTGGTCCAGGGGATGAGGTCCGAGGCAAGGCCACGGGATATGGATCACGCCCTGCTGAGGGCATTCAAAACAGCAGAAAGGCAAGTGGAAACCAAATTACAAGACACTAAGAAACAAATGGGTGGTCAAGATATGGAAGCACTGGGAAGGACGACTCCTCAGGTGAGGGGAGTGGGAACAGGTGGGATGGGAGGGGACAACAGAGGCCTCGATATTTGCAAAGCTGAGTGCATTAGTGGGAAGACTGGCAGATGGTCTGTTCTGAGGCTCAGGGTTTAGGAAGCACACAAGCCCTTTGATATCAGCTGTTTGAGACTCTTGGTAGAGACAGGTGGCCCGTTGAATGTATTAGCTCTGGGGTCCAGACACTTGGAATGGGTATCCAGAAAAGCGAGGTGGGGTAGAGCAGGGAGGAGGCAGGGAACGAAAAAGGGACAAGCTTCATGATGTAGTGCGAGCCAGGGAGTCCATCCTCTTGGCAGTCCTGTGTTGTGGTATTAAAATACACGTACTTCAAAGAGAGTGACAATGACCCTATGGAAGGTTCACTACCATCACACTGAAGATGACCACGGTGAGCCTTAGTTTCATCTTTCTGAGTGGTCCACCCTGGCTGGCCCTTCCTGAGAGCAGGGCACTGGGTAAAGAAATGTTCTGAGCTGCCCACACCAGGCCCTCTGAACAGCAGGCTGTCAAGGGCCAAGCTCTGCTCCAGTACCTCACACAAAGCATTCATTCTATCAAAAAAGCACACATTTTATCAAATGAGTCATGCATATTAATCACTTTTAAATAAATGTTATCCATATAATTAAACCTACATGGTTTTATGGCAAATACTATTTACATATTTATAACATTATGTTAACTTTTTATTGGTAAGAGTTTACAAAAGCCTCTTCTTATGGGCCCTCCTTTCCAGAGCTCAGTGCTGGCCAGGGGAATCTGGCTTTTCCTGGGGAGCCCATCCTGTCTGCTGTCATGAGAGCTTGGGTCATTCAATTCTACAAAAACCCAGTGAAACAGAACACATGCCAAGAGGACTCGAAAGAGGGGGCACATGAAGGAAGTGAAATTTCTGAGAAGACGGTCTACGGCCAAGAACAGGGAAGAGGCGAGGTCTGTACACAGGAGGGCGGGGAGGCACTGACCAGGGGCGTCATGACCAGCAGCAAAACCGGACCTCTGCTCTACAGGGACAGGGTGTGGGGACAGGAGGCTTGTGGCCAGAGGATGCCTCACTAGAGGACAGGGATTGTCTGCCCTGGCTGCACACCAGTCACCTGGGGAGGTTTTTCTTGCTTTTTGTTTTTTAAATAGCTTTGGTGAGCCACAATTCACAAAGTATAAAACAGACCCACTTTAGGTGTACAATTCAATGATTTTTAGTAAAATCTGGAGTTATGCACACATCACGCAATCTAGTACCTCCTGCACAAACCCTGCCACCCTGCCTGAGTCAGACCAACTACCATGAAGCTCTCAGTGGGGCCTGGGCCTCTGAGTTTTCCATTCTCCCCAGGCACAGGGACCTGCTGTAGGCTTTCGCCATGCTCAAGTATTCACACACAGCTGTTTACATAGATGGATGTAACAGCCTCAAACTGCAATCTAGAATGAAACTCCAAGGATGAGCATTATGCCTGCATTTCCACGTTCAGAGTTACCTCCCTCAAGGAAGGTGGACAAGGGCCAGGAAGAGCCCTCAGACCTAGGGCAGCAGTGAGCCCCACCATCAGGACCTCTGTAGGCTTTTGATCCGGGAACCAGAGTAGGCAAGGAACACAATCCTGGAGGCACAAGGATCTCAATAAAGATGCTCGACATTTTAGTCCAGCCCAGTGTAGACGATAAAATGAATTTCAATGCGGTGTTCCTCTCGGGAGTTGTCACAAACGACAAGTGGTTTCCCTACACTTCAAATGATGGCAAATAATTAATTAGCATCGATAGAAATGAACTTAGAGTCCATCCACAAGAAGACCATGACCAAAGAAACAAGCCATTTGCTTTACATGCTTGAGAGGCCACTTGGCAAAGCAGCAGCCCTTCCCTGAGTAAGCTCCCTGCCCGGAGAATGCTACCTCCACTGGGAAGGCAAAAAGAAATGTAGATGTTTTTAAACTGCCAGAGTCTCACCTGTTCCAAGACGCAGCACCCCCACTGCTCACGGTCCAGCCTTCGGGGAGGCACATGGCACCTTGTACAAGTAAGTGGCTGCTCAACGTCCTCTGAGAAATTAGACTCTTCTCCTTTCTAACTAAAAATCAAACCACAGAGCCCACTGGAAGCATGACTGCACTAAGCATCAGATCACAAAATCCACCTATCACCACAGTGGCCCCCATGCAGCACGTGCTCAACCCCTTCTGCTGTGGTGCGCGCAACACAGCCCCCGGTCGTCCCCGCGCGGCGGGCCACTCAACTGCGCATTCTTTGGGCAGGGGCTGTGCACCCCGCCCCAGCCCTGGCACCCAGGCCTTGGCTCGCACTCTGTACCCGCGGAGTGCTCAGGAATGCTCGACTAACCAGCACCCTTGCCAGCAGGGTGGACACCCTGAGCCATGAGGCGCCTTTCTCCTCATACAGTTGGGGGCTGAGGCATTCTAAAGGTGCTGTGGAATCTGGTTCCTCCCAGATTCACAGACTGAAGCCCCAAGCCCCACCATCGATGTGCGGTATAAGGAAGTGGGGCCTTTGGAAGGTAAGCTGGGTTAGATGAGGTCATGAGGGTGAGGCCCTCATGGTAAGATAAGTGCCCTTCCGAGAAGAGCTACTAGGTGCTTACAAGCCAGGAGAAGGGCCCTCACCAGGCACTGAACCTGCCTATGCTATGATCCTAGACTTCCCAGCCTCCAGACCACAAGAAATGAGTGTGTTGTCTGAGCCCCCCAGTCTGTGGCGTTTTATTCAGGGGGCCTGAGCCGACTAAGACAAGGCCAATTACAGGCACAGATGTTTCTCAGCAAAAGACAGCTCCAAGCCTCATCACTAGGCAGGGCAATTATGCCCTTTGACCCGGGCAGAGCTGGCTGCTACTTCCCAGCAGACTTGATCACCTCTTTCTACCTGAACCACTACCTCTTAGACGTCCTGAAATAGAACTTACAGCTTCCTGTCTGTCTGTACGCATTGAGCGTCTCCTCTGCACTGCCAGCGCAATGCACAGTGTCCTTATCGGGGGGGACACTTGACCCAGGGCATCACCCCATCCCCAGGAGCAGCACTTGGATGAACGAGAGCCCCACGTCGGCCCCTGCACTCAGTCTAAGGGCCTTCGAGCAGCACACTGCAGAGTGCAGGCCCAGAGCACCAGGCTCTCCTCACACTCAGGGAGCAAGGATGGAACCCTGAAAACCAGCACAGTCCCTGCAGCAGAGACCAGTACCTGTGGGAAGGGAGCCCCAAGGCCTCATACCAACCACTCTCAACATGAGCAGACAAAGCTGACTTCAGTGCTTGTCTTCCACGGGGCCTCCCTGCCCACACATTACTGGGCTATTCAGCACACCTGAGGGGCCACCAAATTCCCTGGTCAGCTTCGCTGATATTTAACTCTGCAACAAAGCATTTAAGGGTTGGCCCCGGGCCAGCTGCCTCACTCCAAGTTAGGAGGACTCCAACTCTCCGGGCCACCACCCTAGTTTTTAAAATACACATCGTAGCACATAGTTCATGGCTTCACAGGCTACTAAGTGCTCTGAACGCCCTGTCAGCACGGCTATCTCCAGAATCCCGGGCAGGGCCCGGCAGGGAGAGAGCAGCTCTGGAGAACAGTAAGTGGTTCTCTTTCCCCTACTCTTCCAGGAACTGCAATGGGCCAGGGCCCCTTCTACTGGAAAACGACTGGACTGCTCATGGGGACCCAGAAGTGCCCACCCAGGAGAGGCCCCAAGTAGCACCTCCTGGAGACACCTGCATCTTGGATGCTGGGAAGCCCAGGCAGGTGGGCAGCCAGGCCTCTCTGCTCTGCAGAGTAGGCTCGGAGCCCAGCGGGCCAATGCCATAGCCCCCGCTGCTGAACAAGCGACACCAGGAACCACACAGAGCGCAGGCGCGGACGTGGCCAAGGCCATCCGGATCATTCCCTCTAGTTCCCACCTCCAGCCCTGGCCCTGCACTCTGTCAGCTCAATTCCAACTCTCCACACTGAACAAAGACTAATGTAGGCAAAAGCTTCCTGTCGGCTTGCCTGGAGCCCCTTGAGGTCTTCAGGGGTCACTGAAGTGCACACAGCAGGCACTAAAATGTTTGTTGAGTGAACAAGTCAAAGGACAGGGAGACAGACATGTTATGTTCCCATTATATGAAGCAGGCCAAGCTTCTGATAGACCAGAAAGCGGGTCATTCTGCACAGAGGCTTTTTTGGGAGGTGGGAACACCATCAGACTCAGAACTTCAACTCTGCAGCTTCACAAAGGTCCACCAGGACTGCAGTATCATCTGCCTTGTGGCTCCCAGACAGGCCCAGACTTGATTTGGGGCCAAAAGGAAATGCACAGATCCAACACTCTCTCTGCCCTGTGTCCCAAACTCCCAGGATTCAGGGCAGGCAGCAGCCCTCGGTCCTTGCCCAGAAATACTTGACTGTTCTGTGCCTCCAGGGACTGTTGCTGCAAGCATCTCTCCAGTGCCAGCCTGGAGGATGTCCCTGAGAACCACCCTGGGGACACAAATGAAAAGCTGGTGTGGCCAAGGTACCAGTACGATAGCGGCCTCGCACTGGCCAGCTGCTCCCTGGCAGAAGACCTCAAGGGGCCCGGTATTTCCAGGGACAGCTGACTCCACCCATCATCTTCAGACCTGTGCCCACTATTCCAGGAAAAAGAACAGGAGCTTCCGCTGTGCAGCCACCACCAGCCCTCACCACGAGGGACAACTGTCCCTGTCAACCTCCACTCTCCCACATTAACCCTAAGCCATCGGCACCACGCCAGATCCCCTACCATGTAAGGTCCATCAAGCACAGCAGTGAACCAGGAAAAAAATATTTTCGCCGAAGTCCCTGCAGTCTTTCCTCCGGGCCGCAGAGCCCAGATGCCCCCTCAGTGAGGGCTGCCCGCACACGGCCTTCAGCTCTCAGTCCTCCCTGGGAGTGTGGGCTGCAAACACTCCCCACCTCAGGCCAGACCCAGCTGCTGACTGGTTGCTGCAGAGCAGGAGGGCCTGACCACCCACCTGACTGGGGACAGCTCTGCAGGACCACACTTGCTCCAGGGGAGAGGCTGTCGTGGGGCCTTCCTCAGAGCTAAGTTCTCCCTCCGCCTGCTCCCCTTCCTTCACCGCGCTCCGCAGGTACCAGACCCAAGGATCCTCTTTAGTGACTACACTGCATGCCACACTCCCTACTCCTGGGAACCTGGCCCCTGGCACCAAGTCCCAAGGACACATCAATACACTTTTTTACAACTTACTGACCCTCACAAGTAACATTCTCACGTGAGCCAAAGCCACAGCCCAGGATGACAGTCCTGACTGCAGCAGTCTTGCTGCACTCAGACAACCTACTTTTCTCCAAGTCCCCAAAGGGGCATTTCACCTAGAAGGATTCTCACAACAGTCACTCCCTGCCCCAGTGTCCCACCATGCCCAGCACAGCCATGGACTCTGCCAGATTCCACTTCGAGCATCAGAAACCCCCAGAAAGAAGGCTGCTGCCACATCCAGTCAAGCAAAGGAGCATTCTGGGTGTGGACCGAGCAAACAACACTCAAGAGCATCCTTTATTGGGTATCTCTGTTCACAGCTTCCTCTCTCGGGTCAAGTCTGTCCTTCTTCTCCACCCATCCTCCACAAGCCCAAACTACTCACTGCTCAGTCAGCCTGGCCAGGTCTGGCAGCCCCAAGGCAGATGGGGAGAGAGGTCACGTGTGCGACTACTACACTGAGCCCCTGCCGCACAACCACCCATCAATTCCAAGTGTTTTGGGCCCCAGAAACCCAATAATCCCTAGTGCCCCAGGAGAATGGAAACAGATGGCCTCTCCTTGATGAGTCTCGCAAGATCAAAGAATCTTAGCTGGGCCCTGGAAACCCAGCCAAAGACATCATCAGTCCTGGGAGCTAGGGCAGAGTCCAGATTTATGGGCCTCAATGGGCCCCCCTGGGCTGCCAGGCCCAAGAGTCATTTGAGAGCTCCCAGGAGAATCCTTGAGCAGGGCAGGGTGTGGTGGAACCCCTGGGCCTCCCCAAATTCTCTTTTCTGTGGACTAGCACTTCTGCCTGCTCCTTCAGTTTCTGCTTGCTGGGCCTGTTCCCCAAGCGCCTGCCTGACCCCAATATGTGGGTCTGGCTGTCTTGCTGCAACAAGACTGCAACCTGGGCAAGCTTCGTAACCTCTGATTCTCAGTTCTTCAGCTCTAAGGTGAACCATTCACCTGGCAAGGCTCAGTGAAAGTCAAACAAGAATTGCCTACAAGGTGCCCCGTGGAAGGCCTGGCCCCAAGTGCTCAGTGGAAAACAGCTGCTGTCAAACATGGCCAGGTGGGAAAGACGGTGCAGCCTATTTGCCAGCTTCCCACCGGCTCTTCCTCAGCTGCAACTCCCTTCCTCACTGAGACTCTCCAGGCACCAAAACACCCTCTCCTCGACTTGAAGGACTACAACCCCACACATCAAACCCCTTCCCTAGCTTGTTTGTCTCCCTGCTTTCTCTGTAGATGGAACCCTTGAACCAGCATCCAGGAAAGAGACTCAAGTCCTGTCAGGCCACCCAAGTGAGGTGCTGCAGCCACGGCCCCAACCTCTGACCCCGGAGGGTAGAGCTTCCAGAGCAGTAACAAGCTGAATACAGTCTAACGCCCTCCCTGACATAGAAGGTATTGCCAGAGGTCAAAAACGATTCTCACTCTATTCGTTAACCCATCATCTATCAGGCTGGGAAAGCCAGAGCCGAGCCAAGATTCCGGGGCAGAGAGGGAACGAGGATGACTGCACCACCGATGTCTCCACGAATCCACGCCCCCCGACCCCCATTCCCACCCCTTCCCAAACTTAGCAGTTGCTCTGTTTCTGAGAAGGTCCAGTAGATCCATTCCTGGACATACAAATGCCAGTAACCCTCAAGCTGTCTACCTAATGCAACAGGAAAACAGGCAGTTCTAACAAAAGCCTTAACCCTTCCATGCTTCCTAGTCGTCTCCTTACAGCCATCAAAGGTGGACACGCGGCACACAGTAGAAAGTGCTGCAGCTTGTACGTTCCTTAAAGGCAGGATCTGTCTCTTCTTCAGCTTTTGCGGTCCTCATGGCCCTAGGGAGCCGCGTCTGCACTCAATAGTTGTAAGTCTGTTCAGTGAATAAATGCAGAAGTCCCACACAAACACACGCAAGTGCACATACATGTATCATATAAACCCTTCTCCGGCGACTACGGCTCTAGGACACCGTTATCAATTCTGTGATGGGAATTAATCTGCACAAGGCTCTCAGGCTGTGACTTGAATAAACCAGAAAAGGATCCTAAGAGACTACTGAACTCTCCCCTTTACAGATCAGACACGCCGGTGCTGAGGCGTCCAGGAGAAAGGAAGGACTCCCGCGACCTCTGCCAAAGCACAGCAGCCAGGTTAATGGCAGCACTGAGACCAGACCTGTAGGCCTGCTGGTTCCTGGCACCTCACTCCCTCCACTAGCATTCTGGCAGCCCCCTCCCGAGAATATTCCAAGTGTCTAAGACTCGCCGCGGTTTTAATACCATTTTCTTGCCATTAGCATTGCCACAGGGTGTACACAGTGCAAAGTCCCTCAGTTGAAAGCAATCAAGAGTTTTATTTTAAAGTATTTTCAAACAGGTATTTTATTCAGCCACAGGCTGCTTCGTATCCCAGAAGAGCCTCAGCCAGACTTCATTTTGCGGCATATAAGAGTAGCTCACATCACAGGGATGGTCATTACCTTTAACAAGCAGCCTGTCTCTCACAGAAACCCGTCGAGTGGAGTCGGAGGCTGCAGCTGGCGCCCGGGACCCTTTGAGACCGTCATCTCGCTTCAGCTTGCTTGCCAGTGTCAGCATTACTGCTGCCTTCACCCTGAAAGACCAGAAGCAGGTTAAGGGTTCATCTCCAGACACTTCATGTCCAGTGACTGAACAGTGAAGACAATTATGCAAAGGGGGTTTTTACTTCTTTTTCTATACTTTACAGAAATATTCAGCATGGAAGGTACATTAATAAGACTGGACTCCTTCATAATGTATTTGGGTAATCTCTATGCCTCTATAATCTAATTTTTTAAAGTATGAATGAGAAATTTAAAAGTGGGAGTCAAGCATTTAAATTTAACATTCACTGGGTGCCAGGGCCTGGGCTGCAACAATGACAATGCCCCAGGGAGCTCCCCTCGTCCGCTGTAAGTTGGCCCATCCCTGATGTGGGGACCTGCGCGTAGGGCCCCAACGCCTGGCCCATTGCAGACTGAGTTGAGCATCGGCCTCTGGTGAGAAGGGTGGGCACACTGCAGTGCTTCCTTTCCTTCTTCCTTTAATAAACATGTGGCTGGAACCTTAATAAGCATCTTCATATTTATCTCTGTTGTGTTGCACTTACATAGTTAGGCAACAGCAACATCGGGATTAAGTTATAATCAATGCCCCAGATTAGGTTCTTTTCACTGGCTGCTTCCAGCCCACCTATACTTCAGGTTCCCTCACTAAAAGCTCACTGGGAAGGACAATAAAGACCAAAGATGATGCATCTGACTGCTTGGGAGAAAGGACTAACAACGTTCACACAACTGTCCTCTAGAATCTGCCTTCCATTTCTAACATAAACTGCCATTCATCTGGCAGGCCTCCTCGCTCTTCTCGCTTGCTTTACCATTTGGAGAGCGATTCTGGAACTTCTTTTGACTGAGGACAAAATGGTCACCAGCCCAATTTCCATACTTCCCTTTGTTGCCTTAATATAATTTTCTTTCAATACCACTCTGATCATTTTCAAGAGAAAATGATCTGCAATTTCCAGATGAAAAACTTGACTTAAGTACAGAACTTTTAGGTTGAGGCGCAGATCTTGAAAGCCAAACTATGAGAACAACCCTCCCCCACTGGCATTTTTAACCATTTTAACGCAGGCCCCTCACACAGCTTTTCACACCGTCTTCTGCGTATCCCCCCACCCAACAAAGACTGTGAGATTTTGTTTTCTATTAATTATCCCATGAAAACAAACTGTGCAGGACCTATGCACAGACACACACACCTGACCCTTTAAGAATCACTGCTCTAAATGCTTCAAAAGACAGTTCTATCACATATTAGTGCTCACAAGCTCCTAGAATTTCAAATCTGGGGAGGACTTCTCCCCCTGATTTCCTCTTTTTTAAGGATGTGGACCCTGGGACAACTGGGGCCCAGGAACTGGGTTTTCTGAGGCCACTCAGTTGCTGTAAGAGGTGACCACAGAAACACTAGTTTCCCCCTCGTGGATGAGGGGAACGCTTTTATCCTAAATGTGGTGATGGCTTCAGAGGTCTATACCTACATCAAGAACAACTATGAACAGTTCAGTGTACTTCAGTTACACCTAGATAAAGGTGACAAAAGTGTGAAAACAAACCAACACTGATTTCTTCATTCCCACACCACCATGCTGTCTCTTCAGGTGGACCTGCAGAGAGGACCATAACCACCGAACACACATCTCAGCTCCACGCAGGGCAGGGAACTCTCAGCTCAGTTTACAGAGCAAGCTCACAAGGGAGGCCTGGGGTGGGATGGAGTCAGCACACCCTGGGGGCTCCAGCCACAAGCTACCAGGGTGCAGCACCATCTCGAGCCAGGACCTCTTACTGAGCCCACACCTGGAATGATCTTGTCAGAAATCCCTCAAGCAGACCTGGGTCGCAAAGCAGTGTTTGCCTCCCCAGCAGTCCACTGCCAGGCACCCAGACTCGGGCACATCAGTCCTGCAACATCGACAGGGCCCCCTGATGATGGGCCAAGATGTGCCTCTATCACAAAGTCTGTATCCTCCAGCTGACCTTGGTCACACAAATACAGCAAACAATAAAAACACAGCCTGTGGAAAGAGAGGTCACTAGGCAGGACTCTAGGAAAGTCACACTAAAGAGCCCAACAGAAAAGTGAGTCCCAGGGCACAAGCCTGGTCTGCATCTACCTACCTCCCTGAGGACCTGCACTGAGGGAGCTGCTTGGAGGGTCCTGGCAAGACTCACTCACACGAAGAAAGGCTCACACCAACTCTTCCGTGTCACTGCAGTCTGAGGACTCTGCTTAATTCTCGTACCCCCTACCCCACACTGATTCTTCTCCGTGGGCAGTGTATGCCCCATACTCCATTCTACTGAGGTTCCTGGTTTGCCATCTTCAACAAGTTTCTGGCCCTGAATAAAATACACGGGGCACTGACTGTATAAGATGTGAAAGAAAGTAACACTGGTGTTTTGTCTTCCTAACAGTCTAAGAACTCGAAGTGTGTAAGGACCATCTATTTCCCCATCACTGGTATCATTTTCACCTGCCACTTTGAGGATAAACCAAAGGCCTGATTCGGGAATGTTTCACAGGTGTCAAATTAACTACATACAAAGAGGGCTGAACAAAAATAATTATTCAAACTGTCAGGTTAGAGGGAGAGGGTACAGCTC